CTCTATCCATTGAGCTAACCGCCTCCCGGTTAGCTCAATGGATAGAGCGCTGGACTGTTGTGCGGGAGGTCGAGGGTTCGAGCCCCGGCCGGACCAACACTCAAGGTCTTAAAATAATTGAGAAGAATATGCTACCTTTCTATAACATCAAGAAATGGTTAGATATTCTAGTCTTCTCGGATAGGGACGAATAAATGGAGGTCCCGTCTCCTACAGGGTTAGGGGTAGGAGACGTTAATTTCCCACGCACGAGATTACTGTGTGATGGATGTCCTCCCCTGGGGTGGGATGGGCGGGTTAGGATTGATTGTAAAGCGCTGTTGATCTGTCATTGTAAATAGCGCTCTATAAGTAATAAATTGTAATTGTAATTGTATTTAGTATGTATATTGAACAGTATCGTTGTTAACATTTTTCATGAACATATTTCGTATCTTGGAAATAATTCATAACTTCGATCACAGATCCTTGTGGGGAAAATATTTCAATGTCAATGTGTTCCGGTCGTGGTTTGTATGAAAAATCAACAGCAAAGCGATAATCGTTCATTAGCAGTGTCTTTCCCCGAGGATTCAGCCAGAACACATCTAAGGTATGTTACATTTCGTCTTGAATACTGAAGGAAAGACAAATGAATGGTGTCCCTTCTCTCGAAAGTCTTTTTGACTGAAATAAGTTTCTCCATGTTTTAAAGAAATAACCATTTCCCTGTCCTAAAGATTTGGTGTCTCTACATAGAGACGCCCAGCAAATTTTTCACACCACGCTTAGATTCTCGTGGTTCCAGTCAATTTGAAAAGTGTCCATTGATACATAATTGCTTGTCGTCAGATCTTTAACAATACAGATAGTCCACCAGATTTTTGACTGAATTTCAGATTCTAAAATTAGATTCGTTGGGAAATGTTCTGAAGACAAGGGACATGGCGGGAACTTTTTCAACGCTAACCTTGCTTCATGCATCACTTTGCAACCGAGAACTTGGCTTTTTTCTGCCCCTCAAAATAGGTTTTCTGAGGCTCTAAAAATTCCACATTGATAAGCAATTCGGTGTTCCACTAAGGCACAAATTTATCCTCATATCAAATACTTCTTGCTCTCTTTCTAGATAAACCGTCAATATGAGATTACTGCTCGTTCTGGCTATTGTCTTGATCAACACCGTGCTTTTCACATCGGCTGGCAAGAAAAATAAATGTGGCCCCATGGTTAAGGAACACAATTGCGAGTGCAAGGCCAAATCAGAGGGCCAGTTGAAAATGGAGGGTGGGAAATTGCTGATGTGTGATGGTAGTGAATATAAAGCTCTGCAGTTTGAAATGCCTTCCAAAAATTCAAGGGCGAATCCAGCTTATTCGTGTAAGGAAATCAAGGATGAGGACACAGCAGCCGAGGATGGAATTTATTGGCTTACGTTTAAGAGTAAGATCAAAAGTATATTTATTACTTTCTAAAAAATTTTAAGTAAACTCAGTCTGAACTCACTTAAAATGTATCTTACTCATGTAGGAGTAAAACGTTCGTAATATCGAGTTTTAAGGTTACATGCATTTGCCACAGTTGTATCGATGGTTTATTTGACAATTATTTCCCGAGCGCACTTTGGATATGAGATGATAGATAGCCAACGAGGCGCAAGGCGCCTCGTTGGCTATCTATCATCTCTATCTATCATCTTGGCCTCTAATCATCCCATATCCAACAAGCGCAAGTGGAATAATTGTTTTATTAAAAAAACGCCCCCAAGATATTAGACAAATCTTCTCGACTTTATTTTGTAAGAAGAAACCGGATGTTACAATGTACAGATATTAGATTATGGTATATTGGCTCATATGCCATAATGGATTAGCCAATCAAAAGTCTTGAATGGCATTATCCGATGATTCAGTTTTTAATAATACAGGTTATCCTCGCTTGGAACAAAATGCCAATCGACATTAAAAAAGGGGGAGGGGTGGGTGGAGGGGGTAGATTGAGTAAGTAAAATGGAGTCTTAAATCAGTCGGGAAAGAAGCTCATCTAGTTTTTTTTTAAAATTTTTTGCTTCATATCCAGGTGATCCCGCTGTTTTCCCAGTTTACTGTGACATGTCTAATGGAGGTGAGTTTGAAATAATTCTCAGCTTCGCCTAGTTTGATCAGAAGAAGAATGTCATGTCCTGACACTTGAGTATCGTGTAGTAGCGAATGTGCACTTTTTTTTTTTGGTTTTCGCTCATATTGGTAATAGATTTTCGCACCCATTGATTTACGCATATTCGTTTTTGTTTTTCAACCTATAATTTCTACACCATTCTTTTGGCGCTTTATGTAAATCACGCCAAGGTCTTTAAATCTCATGTTTCACGCCCCTTTTATTTATAGCAGTGTGTCTTTTTGCGTCGATGTAAACCTTTTTTCCTACGAGCGTTTTACTTGTCGTATATTCCCTTGGCATTTGGTAAGTTTTTGTCTCTTGGCATCTTCTGCGAGGCATAGAATCACTGGTCAGCCATTAAAATTAATCCGTGATTTGTTTGACAAAAATAAAAATATCATTTTCTCGACGTTAGATTTTATTCAAATGTTGTTATTCTTTAAAAAGATTTGTTACTGTGTCACTGAAATACCCATGACTGCATGTATCATGTAGACTAGTTTTTTCAGTTACCCTTTCTCTTGTTTTCACCAGGATGGACCATGATATTCAAGGCGGTTTCCGGGGCGAAGGAAAATGCTTTCAACGCGTACAATTCGGGTGAAACTCTCGCTGAAAATGACATGAGCGCTCTCGACGTCACTACAAAGACCGGTGACTACAAGAGTAGGATAATCTTAAACTGGGCTGAGTTTAGTATATCTGAGGTAATTAGGAAACGGCAAAAGTCCGCTCGTCTTTTCACGTTTCACGCGTTTCAAGCTTCGCACGCGTGAGCTTGCGTCTTGGTGGATTTAAAGGCGCCCTTGTATGAATCACCAGGAATAGTTTTGGTGGCCTTTTTCCAGGAATTAACTTCTACTCTGTGAGAGAAAGAGTAAAGAAAATTTTCCGTTCATGGTAAAAGCGAAACAGATTACTTTTGCGTAGGAACGGCAAAGCGCAACCGGCAAGTGTGAAAAAATGGCGGGAAAAACAAGGCACGTGGCCATCCTTGCAGTTAACGTTTTACGTAAACGCGCTGCTAAATCTCTCCATAAATAATATTGAATGCGAGGGCTAGAAGATGTTTTGAGGTTAATAGGTCTGCCATGCACCCATTTAGCGATAAATCTAGGTTGCATAAAGTGATGCCAGCTTACTCAAGGGATTGCAGTTCAAGTTTTGTGTAACGCTCCTGCAGAAGTGACCATGCAATCGACATTTTGAAATTTAAAACATCTGCCTTTGTTGTCTTTGACAAGGAGAAACGACGTCCGAAAGCGACTAAGAGAATTTTTGTTTGTTTCATGCAGAAAGTGAAAAATTGTTTGTAGTCTACGATGGAACAAGCGTCACTGATTTTTCCGAACTTTTTCGGGCCAGCGCAAGTAAGCGCCAGGCAAGCTTGAAGGTGCGCCAAGTATGCGCGAAAAGGGAAGCGCTTCTCTTCACGCGCGTGCCTCACCCGCAGGCTGAGGTACACGTCACGTGGTATGACACGCACGGAAATTATGAAGAAGCGGATGTAACCTAATAAAGGTTTAGAAAACAATGTCAACGATAACTGATAGCCACTATAGATATTTTCAAGTAGGGTTCATTGGGCAGAAGTGCTTTAAAGTGAATTAGTAATGGATATTATCTATTCTACTTTTACAGGCGAAAGTTGTCCTTTACGAAGGAAATAGTGCTGTAAAGGAGCTTTTCTTCAACGCCCAGGGATCGGACAAATTGAACTGGTTTTCAAACGACAAACTGAAGGAGCCCTACCCGTGGACAGATGTGAAAAATGGGGAACAGAACTCCTTTTCCATCCAAGGATTAAGCGGTCGTAACTTTTTCATCAACAAGAGCTATGGTGGATGTCCTAATGACAACGGATGGATGGCTATAACTTCGACTCACTGTTCATGGGAAAATCGATTTGGAGAAGAAAAAAACGTCGTTCTTTACAGCAAGCTTGAGACATACACTAATTGGAACACTGCAGGTGAGGATATTGACACCGCAAGTTAACCCCAAACCTAGGAAGAGGAGAAATGAACAAAACGCCAACGTTTTTACTTTTATAAACCTTAAAATGCAAAATCAGATGAGGTCGAAATGGAATGGAGAAGAATTTTTCAGCCTTCCGCTTTCTGCTTAGCAATGACCGCTGATCACTCCAGCGGGATGTCTGAATCCTTCATATATTAGGTCGTCTTTTGATTCAGTGTCGTGAAACCAAAACAAGGTTACCACAGCAGCCAATCAGTTGATGGGTAAATATCATAAAGAGCCAATGAGGGCTCAAAGTATGAAAAAGCCAATGACTTGAAGCAAAGGAAACGCCGGTGACCAAAGTACGTTGGGTATTAGTTTGAATCATGGTGATTGAGGTGGCAAAAGTCTTGTTGGACCAATCTTACAGCGAAACAAAAAGTTGATTTTTTTTGCATTAATTCAAAATTGCGAATAACTTACGAGCAGCAGATATCTCTTGAGTAAAATTTGATTCCATGAACAAAGAAATAATGATAATTTTAGTGATAGTTACCATAGTAATAATGACATAAACACCGACCATGTTTTTGACTGGTTTTCTGAAAAATGCCCTCCGTGTGCATTTTTTCACTTTTCAGATAACGTCGGGAAAGCAGATGTTCTGGCGGTTTTTGTGCGCTAAGGTAAGAAAAGAGATTAAAAACTGTCTACTTGGTAGACCTTTTTTTCCAGTCGAAAAACATCATGTGTTAAATGAACAGATTTCGCGGAGCTGTACATAGCGGGGATGGGCCTTCCGTTCTTGTTCTTAAACGGTCTTTGTGGTGTGGTTTTGAGTGGAATACTTTACTCTCACTTTCCCTTTATTGTTAGGGGCGGATCCAATCCAATGGTAGTTCGATTGAACCTCCTAAACTGAAATGGAAAACGTTTCACATGTGCGGTTTCTAACGAGAAATTCTAGTGGACATAGACAGTGGCGGATGCAAACCTTGAGTTAAGGGAGGGGAGGGAAGGGGCATTTTGTTTGTGCGTGTTCACCAGCCGGCTTTTCATCCCTCTACATTTAATTTTCACCCTAGATTAGGGGAGGGGGGTAAGGCTTTCTCGTACGCTTCCCTAAATCCGCCACTGATAAGGGATGTTCAAAAGACCTAAAACCCTACAACTATTCCTGAACATGCTGGAAATCACCTTTCCGAGGACTTAAATTTTAAATGTTTTTAGAAAGTAAACTCACAATCCGCCTAGGATGGTCCGTCTTGAGTAGAAATTTAGCTGGACCTCCCTTTTGCTACATCCTAGATTCTTCCCTAAATCTTCACTTGATCAGAAGCCTTGGACAGTGAGAAAGCTTTTTATTGCCTGGTTAACTGGTGTATTTCTATCCGTGCTTTTAAATACAAATGATATTTTAAAAGTTTTTATCTGAACCTGCTAGACGTCGCGAGTCAAAATGTACCGCATCTCTCACAACCTCTTGTTTTAGACAAGAATTCAAGTTTAGCCTTATAACTGATGAACGACAGAAAGCCTTCAGAAATAAATAAATAGCCTCACTTTTTATTTCAGCAATCACCACCACTGAAATTGGACTACATAGGATGGCAGAGAATTGAGGCAATATAATTAGTTGCTTTTCTGCAGGGTTTCTTGTGAAGGGTTTCATTGATGTACCAAGGTAGCAGGTGGAGATTCAGTCTCCCACCCTCTCTGATGCTTAGAAAAAATGTGGCCTCAAATTAAATCCAATAAAACAATAAGTTCATTTGAAGAGTTGCATTTATTTAGTTTCTGTCTTTATAATTTCCCTTATCTTAATATCTTGGTCAACTCAGCCAGCAAACAAGGCCATTTTGCCAAAGCTAATTTCAGTTTCAGAGGAACTGGAGAAGCCACCATAGTAGACTGTTTCTTTCATTCATACTTCCCCTTGGACAGGATTCCCGGACACCCAGGGTTATCACCCCACTCTTACAGCAATTCTCCATCTTTCTCTGACAGGTTTCCAATATCCATTTCTGACAAATCTACCCCTGAACAATAACAAAGTGGTACAGCCACTAACACAAGACTACTAACCACTGGCACATTATATCTCTCTGAGCAAGGTGTTTGAGCACTGAAGAAATCCAAGTTTGACTTCAAATTCCAAGCTGACAAATCTGAAAAGTTTTTATGGCATAGCAATAAGGCAGTCAGTGCAAAAACAAGAGTCTGGCACAAAATGAACATCAAAAACCAATTGCTATTTCTTTTTTACTCAGTCACCTTAAATATAAAAATGTCAAAAATGCAAAAATGATGGCAAGAAGAATTCTATAAACTTTTCAGCTCTTAATGTTAACCCCAAGGAATGATCGACAACTAATTTCTTCTTACAACTAGTGCTACTGAATCACAAATTAAGGTACATTTTGTCTTGAAAATAAAGGAAATGATTGCCAACTAAGCTTGTGATCATTCACAAATTCTCCTTGTCAGCACACTAGAAAAAGTATAGAGAACAGCGTGAAGAATACTAATACCCCATATAAGGGTGCAGACAATTGAGTGAAACAACTAACTCAAAATAAACAAAACTGTATTATCTGCCATGACAGAGGTGGAAATGCACGCACTGAAAGTACATGTACCTCCTGTTGTCTTTCATGAATCCTTAGAAAACTTCTCTAGGATTTGTAAGGGAAAACAGGAGGTATTTACAGTGTGTGCAGTTTCTGTCCCGTTGTATTAAAACTACACAATATTGACAGAAATACTTCAATTGTTGAAATTATACTTCTCTTTTTAAACAGCTCCACTTGTCTCAGATAAATATGTTCCATCTAAAGCTAAGGCTATCAGAAATATTAATAGAACAGAATAAATTATAATTAATTGATAATAAATTTCTCAATTATCAATTTACATCCCTTTCTTCGCAAGTAAAGTCTGCACTCAGTGCTTCTGCCATAGCAAATTGGGGTATTTCCGAACCCCGAACTTTCAAAGTGTAACAGGCGACTTCCACCTTCTTCATACTGGCCGTCAATACTCTTAACTTTGACGCAATGTCCTTAGAAACATTACCGAAAGCCACGAAAGAATTGTGAATTTCACGCAAAAAGCTGCAAACCTCAAAAGGCGTGTTTTGATCCCCGCTTGACGCACTGTTTATACAGAAGCGCATGAGCTCTCCGGTCAAATCTGCGATGCCAAGGACGTAGTCGAAAGGATTTAAGCTTAAGTGAAGATCTATCCCTTCCTCATTTAAAAATTTCAACTCCGTTTTAACTTGGTCGAAAGAAATCAAAGTTTTTCTCTTGAGAAAATGCGCGAAAGACAATGCTTCGATGTACTCCTGCACACCAGTAGAGTACGCGCGGGTGAACAAAAATGGATCTTCTCCCTCCAGCTCCAAAGCTATCGTCTTTAAGACTTCTTTAACTTCCAAAAACTTTTCATCTGCTTCTTTGAAGATCTGCTCCGTATCATTCGCCCCTGTCACTCGCTGAAGGAGAAATATAATTCGCTTGCTTGCAATGGTAACATCTCTACTACATTTAACTAAACGCTCGTGTTTGTCATGCCGAGAGTCTAGCTCTTGCCGATGCTGTTGAAATGACAGTATTACTGGCGATTTTTCATCGACTTTCCTCTTCGGAAGAGTGCTCTCTGGAGCTTCAGTTCGAGGACGTTTTCCACTTCGTCGTTTCACAACAGCCGCCATAGTGAAAATCTGGCTTAGGAAATAGATGCACGACGTTGATTGGCTCTTTATTCATGGAACTAAACCAATCAAGTACAGCTTTATAAAAAAGTTGGGGAAAAATGGCGGTAGATTTGAAGGTTTTCTAAGCGCCAAATGAGCCTTGTTTAACATTATCTTTTGATAAGGATCGGAAGGTCTTACGTCAAAATAATTCATGAAGATATAAATCCAATTCACCCATTATGAGCTCTGGAAGAGCGAGAGGTAACTTCTGGAGAGGAAGAGGACAGAGATTTCGTGGAGGAAAGAGTTCCCGAGGAACCAACCAGGCAGGAAGAGGTGAAATTGATTTATAGACTTCCGATTACCTTTATGTTTATAGTCAGGGGGATTCAGAATGTTTTCCGTGTCCCATGCTTGTGACTCGACGAAAAGCATTGATATAAACTTCACATAATTGTCGGTTTAGGACAGAAGGACCCAGGCCAGGGCAGTTCAAGACCTCAAGCGCAACATCAAAGAGCACGGCAAGTGCAGACAAGCTTAATGCCCTGTCCCTTCAAGAAATGGAACTTATACTTCCCTGACATCGGTGAGCCAGTAGTCTTGTGAGATTAGTTTGAAACATGGTAAATTGGGGTCATCCTCGGTGTAAAAACCTGACGAGGTTTTCTTTGTTTTGCTGTACGCTATTGTTTATAATGTTTTGTTGTCTTTGTTTTACGTCACTCGTGAGCTTCACAGGTTTTTACACCGAAGATGAACCGTAAATTGTTTATCTGTGACCAGTTAACTCTTTCATTTCCAGGACTGACCGATGCATAATTTCTCCGTACAGCATCAATACTACATTAAGCAGACAAGCGATGAGAATAAATAAAAATATGAAGTAGGGCTTATCCAACACCAAATTTTCAGAAGAAAATTTCAAGTAGATGTATGGTAAACAGAAGGGAGAATTTTAATTGAGATACTGGGAGTACTGAGAGGGTAAATGCAATTAGGGAACTATTCCCTTACTGTTAAGATTATTTTTTTTCTATTTCACCAGGTTTCTTGGCCATTTCATAATGGCCAATGTGGGCAGGGCTAGCAGCATCTGGTTGCCCCTAGCGCCTTATTTTTGCTCCTAGGCAACTCAAGAATCTTAGTTTTTTCATGAAAAGCATATGCTGGGTACCCTGGATTTCGCAGTTTCAGAGCACTGGGCTCCCTTCAATTTTTCTTAGAGCACAGCCTTTGTGGGGTAGAGTAAATTGGCCTTGGTAGAGAGTTTCCAAGCTGATGTTTCAAGTGAGCAGCCCTTCCTCAGAGCAAATACATGTATTTTGCTCTGAGGAAGAGCGAACACTTGAAACGTCAGCTTAGAAACTCTTTAGGGTGGCCAGTTTACATTTACATATCAACTCAGTTGATATTAAAGAAAGTGATGTTGTTACACTTCTCCACTGACACAGTACCACAGTTTCTTTAGAAACTCACCCCATTTGTTAAGTAGACTGGAGGTAAAGTTTTTGACATATTCACTGAAGATCTTCCTTTACCCAAAGGTGCACATTTTGTGTTAATTTAGTTCAAAGTTCCTTAACTTTAAACATGCAAGATCTAAATAATAATTCTTTTCAATCACTGTTTTACTTTTCCTTTTAAATTAGACTAGAGAATTTGGTCTTATTCCAAAGTAACACCCTCTAGTTGATTTAGTTTGTCTGCAGGTTCTCGTGATCTGTTTATAAGATAACCTTTTAAAATTGCAAGGAGAAGTTACCTGTTAATCACCTCTGGGAGTTTAAGGTTAAAAAAACAGTCCCCTTATTTTAAGTTTGAACTTTTAGCCAGTTGGCTGAGGATTTTCTTTGATGTATTTGAACTTAAATAATTTCTCAATTGAAATAATAATTATTCTTCTGCAGTTTATAACCCTGACTCATCTCTTGCAACTAAAATTGAAGCCATGATGAAGTTTGTGGAATCACATGCAGCACAACTTTCTAAGGTAGAAAAAAAAAAGCTATCACAGGGTTCATATGGCTCCTGGAAAACCTGGAAAATTATGGATATTTATTTCGACATTCTCCAGGACTGGAAAGTCCTTGAAAAAGACTATAACAGGTTCTAGATAGTCCTGGAAATTGGCTAAAAATCAAGCAATAAAGTTTTAAGAATTTACTTTATAAGAAATGTGCATAGACCGTAAGGAGAATTGATTTTGAAATCTCAAGAATGAAAGGAATAAAATTAATGTGAAATTTGGAGTCCTGGAAAAATCAATCTAAGCCTGGAAATTCCTACAAAAGTCTTTGAAATTTGTTTCTGAAAAAAGATTACACACCCTGTATTAGTAGTTTGTCGAGTTACTTCCAGATTAAACAGGAAGGTGCGCTATAAAAGGAGCCTTAGGTCCCACTGGACCATTTGTCAATCAACCGTCGTGTGATGTAGAACTGTTAGAGTCAAGTCAGCTTGAGCTATAGCTACTTCAAAGCAGTGAACAGTGGGCTCATTCCTCAAAATTTTTTTGTCTTCATCACAATACAAGAATTTTTGAGATTTGTATTTCCTTTCTCCAATGGAAACTGTCTTTATTTGTGGAGGTAAATTTGAGATTGAAGTAGGTGGTTTGCACGTTACCGCATGCCACCATGCTGGTGGACGTAAACAATAGATATCTCATTAGCTCCTTTTGTTCGTCTACCAGCATTTAAATTTGACCTGCACACGTCAATGGTGAGTGACAAATGAGCCTAGGTCTTCCCAGGGAAGACTTCCTTATATAGTGCGCCTTCATGTTCAAAGTGTTTTCTACCTACTGCAGGGTTGTGGTCAAGCAGCGCCCGGTGGCCCCTGGTGCCTTACTCTTACTTTTGTTTTGGGCAACTCAGGAATCTTAGTTTTTTCATAAAAAGCATATGCTGGGCACCCTGGTTTTCACAGTTTCTGAGCAGTGGGCCCCCTTCAATTTTTTTTTGGGCACAGCATTTTACTGTCAGTATTTATCTTAAAGGTGTACATTTGTTGTGCATACCTATTTAAACTTGTCACTCCCAAGATCTCATTCAGCGATTCTCATTACTGTCTGTGATACAATTCTTTTAATGTTACTTGTTAGAATTTGTTATTGGATCAACCAGTTATCTGCCTATGTGGACTTTTTTTTATTATCATCACTAGTCTTAATTTTGTGAGGAGGAATTCTTCCTTGGTCTCCTGTGGGAGTTCAAAACGGCTAACACTTGATTTTAATGATAAATTTTTTTAAGGATGACATAGAAAGCAAAGCAGCTGTGGTGTTTGACTATATGGATCTAATATCTGATACAGGTAATGGTATGGAAACAATTCAACATGCAGTTACAAACTTTATGAATGTTTTAGGATCTAGAGAGAACATAAAACCTGAGTAACAGAGAATGTATTTCCTTGGATAAGTCCACAACGTTACTGTAATATAAGTGCTCATCATCTGTATATTGTTGAATGAGTGCCCCCCTCAGTTAGTAGGGATGAAAGAATAGCTGTTTTTATTGCTGCTAACTTTTTAAGCTTCAACTACATGTCCAGGAGAATCGGTAAAGGAGAACAGTTAAAAAACCTCTCTCAATTAAACATCTCCTTCTGATAAGCACCCCTCGATCTTTTAAATAAGCACTTAGGCCAAATACATTGGGACAGAAATTCTCAATGAGGTAGCTTTGAACAAAAAAAGGAAAAAAATTTGCGTTAAGTTGATATCTTCCTTTTTGTTTTCTCGAACATAATTTTAAATTGCCTCTTTGGGTTGAGGTTTAGATGTTCTTATAGTTAACTAAACAGCCAAAAACTTATTTTCAAAAATTGATGCTTGTTGTAACAATAAACTAATGCAACATGCTAGTAATAGTTTAGTTTAAACTTTGGCAACATTCTGTTGAAACATTGCTCTAGATCTTGCTGAGAATCTTCCATCTTTGGCTGGAGACCTGCGAGATCAGCCTACAGAAGTTCTTAACAGTATAAGCTTGGCAGTTACTCAGGTATGCTCGTTTATTCAATGTAGTACAGAGCTGTGATGGTTTTCAGTTAGAATGTAATTAGGTCTGATTGTTAAATTTAATTCTAATTATTATTATTAAAATATTTACTTTATTAAAAATATATAGTGCAATTTTCATTAATGTCCAATGGCCCTTTACAATTTGATAATAGTTCAATTAATTAAACTAATACCCAAAAACTATAAATTAAAACTATGAAATGTCTGAAAATAAAATGTCTAGTTACTGTAATAAATTATAGCTAAAATGTCTAAAATGTAACAAAATCTCTCATTTTACTAAAAAAACCTTTCCTAAAGAGATAAGACTTTACTTTTTTCTTAAAAACATGATCATTTAGGTACTAGGTAATTAATAGATTGAATGTGTTGTTTATGACTGACTCCAAAGATTTTTTCTTTAATTTTAAGGTTCTGTTGACTGCAGAGATGGCTGAGAGCCCACAAGGTGCACCATTGTTTGATTTGCCATACATACAAACAAGGTAATGAATTTGCATGCTTTGCGAACATTCCAGCTTGTACCAGACATAATTATGAAAATAATGTAACCAGTGTTTACAGTAAACTCCATTACAAGACACTTATTATAACCTAGTCAATGTATCACTTATGATACATTACTTACAAATTGAGCTGCAGCATACAATGAAACAAAAAAAATGTATGTTTTGTTTTTTTTTCTTTTTCAAAGCTGTCTTTTGATATTTTACCCTCCTTACAGTTTGTACTCAGTGGTTTCATTTTAGTGCCTCATATGTTATACACCACACAAAGCTTGCTAATATCCTAAATTGTAACCAACAGAATAACAAACTTCGAGCCTGCCACTCCACTCAAGAACCTCAAGTCAAACTATTGTGGTAGGTAACATATATCCATGAAGCTCTTGAACAAATTTGACCTTGTTGTTAGTTTCTACTTCAATACATTAATTAACTGATTTTATCTTTTCTGTAAGCTTTATTAATTTTAGGACTTAAACCATTTACATCCCAAGATCAGTATGCATGCATATTCTTCATACTGTTCTCTATATATTTGCTAAGGCGCTGACAAGGAGAATTTGTTTGATTAGTTAAGAAGCGATTCTATAGTTGGTGATAGGCGCTTGCGGATAGGCGCCAAGGAGCTTGTAGGAAGCTTATACGCACGTACCCTGACGCCGTCAAACCCTGTTTTCAATATTGTCAAAAGCTGCCTTGCTCAACCAGGTAACAAGTACAATCTTGGGTCTTCTTCTACTAGTTCTGTGAAAAGCACAAAAACTGACCGTTTTGGAAAAGTTTGTAACAAACAAGTTTGCCACTTATTAAAAGCAAAATATATAAAAATCCATTATTTATTATTGTATTTTGTAAGCTTACTTGCATGTATACAATTTGCTGACAATACCAGTCCTGTAATTCAGATTTTCTGCAAGGGGTATAAATAAACAAACATTGAAACATTGATTATTTCCTTTATTCTCCTGACCTTAATGTGTGATTCAGGGGTGATATTGTTAGGAGAAATTAGGATCTACTCACTCCTAGGTGTTAAAGGGTTAAGACTTCTGTGTAATTGTAGGCGTTTATCCCATAGCAGACATTGAGGTACTAAATCTGACACCAGACCCGTATAAATTTGATTCCAATATGATTTAATCTGATATCAAACACGTCAAACTAAAACACAAACAAGAAAACCTAGTCTAAGCGACATTACAAGGAGCTAAACTAAAACAATAATTATTACATCATAACAACACAAAGATCGAGTGCATAAACCCTAACAATAACCGATCAAATAATAAACAAAAGCAACAAGGGGAGAGAAAAATATGCTTACTGATTGCCCTCTCTGTATGCCTCATTTAAACCAGAAGTCACAAATGATCGCAGATAACCTTACTGCAGATTACTCTATCGCACAAACTCGCATAAACTCTCCTTTTAGCGACTGCGCACGACGCCACAACGTACGAGGTCGCAATAATGTCTCACTAAAACTTGATATTTAACTTAATGACGGTTAAATTCTGAACCCTTAGAAAATCATCTACTTATATGTCACTTAGTGTTAAATTTTCTCAGACCTTTGAATTGTCCACTCACCTGTTTGCTTTAACAACTGCAGGTAAATTTGTGGCAATCCATGGTACGGTAATAAGAGTAAGCAATGTGAAACCCCTGGTGAAAAAGATGGCATTTTCATGTAATCTGTGCAGCCAGATGCAGGTATGTGCATCAAGCAATCATGTTACTTTGCAGTTAATTTGTTTGGCATACAAGCACTACTTTTTCAAGGTTACACACTGATTGGTGTCGGTCATTTCAAGATTTCAAGGCAACTGGAAATGAGAATGTCCGACTAAATTCTCAAAAACTCAGTATGGTCCTTGTTTACAATTTCTTTTCTTTCAAAAATTTTTCAAGACCAGTGGTAAAGAGAATTAAAACAAAAGCAGAGAAATCCCTCATATAAATTATTTTTTAAAACACACAATTTCAAATTGTTCTAATGTATGAAATACAGTGGGTATCTCAATAATAATAATCAATAGAAAATTATTTATACTAATGTCAACATTAATTGCCTCATGGTCAATTCAAGGTGGTTCATCTTACAGACGGGAAGTATTCAATTCCAACTAAGGCAAGTTAATGAGATTTTCTTTTACTTCTCTTAAAGTTAAAAATGACTCAGAAGGGCCCTTTGAACCAAATTTTCAGTAATCCCACCTTTAATGTTAGCAGCAGGAGAAAACTTTAATTTACAATATACAGTTTAACTTGTATTTGTTGATAAATGGAGACATTGACATGCTCACTGATTTTGAAATTAGGATATAAATTGTTGATGAAGTTGCCTGTTTGTGCACCACAAGGCTAATTCTATTTTTATGATTTGCATCTCTCTGTCAGGATCTGAAAAATCCTTTGTACATAATACACAAAAAGCCATACTTTACTACATGTGTATTTTCATGATAAAACATGCCAAAACATTGATCCAAATCAAACTTCTCTATAATGGACATATTTTTTTCAATGATTGCATGGTTTTAAGCTGTTACTGGAATTTTCCTGGGTGAAACTCAGATAGTTCAAAGTTGAAGCAGTCAGCAAATATGTGCTGA